ATTTCAAAAAATCGAATTATAAATTAAAGTAATTAACATACTTAAAATATCCAGGCCCAAACATCTTTTTTGTAGACTTATTTCCTGAGCGAATTTACACAACAAATTTGAATTTTTTTTTTTTAATTGATTTTTTGCAGAATCTGTTTATTGCTTTAATTTTTGTGCTTTATGAATATCATGTTGGAGATACAGGAAATGTAATGTTCAGAAGTATTCAACTTAAAAATTTTGAAGTAAAGCTTTATTTCCTACTTTTTCATACTACTTGTTCAATATGAAAATTATTCACTTGTGTTTTAAATATAATTTCTACTGAAAGTTACCAATGAATTTGCTGCAAATAAATTTTAAATTAAAGTTTACCATTTATATTAACCAAAACAATTGTAAATCTTAAATATTTCTGTCTAAAAAGTATGTTAATCGAATTTTAAAAAATAGACATCGGTTGAGCGAATTTACCCTACATGAGCGAATTTAGCCTCACTTACGGTACATCCTTCAGACTGAGAAAAGACTTTTTATTTGAATGAATCTTAGTATAGAAACAGAAGGAAACTCATGCAATAGTAATGATAGTTCATTTTTTGCACTTTTTTGGAAAAAAAATTTTTAAATTGTTATAAGCAATTCAATTGTCGATTCTAATTTTAACAGCGATGTATTTTAACATAATATGAACTGATTTTTATAAACACGGCTCCCCTAGGACAAATTTTCTATACTTTATACATGGCTGACAAAAAATTTAAAATAGCATTAAATAGTAAATTTTGAAAAAAATTCATAATTTTTTTTTTTACAAAAAAGTGTCTAAGGGAAAATTTGTTTATTTTTGTACAAAATTTAAGAAAAAAATTAGAAAAAAATATTTGTTTAAAAATTGTAAAAAATACAAAATTTTGAAAATTTAAAAGTTTTGTATTTTTGGACGAAATGAGCTGCCTAACGAACTCAGGCTTCATTTCATCGGGGGTGAATTTCGTTTCATCAGGGGGTCATGAAAAATGAAGATTTATCAAAATTAGAAATTTCTCAACATCGCACAAATCCAAGACTTTCTCATTTTTTATGAGAATGTAAAAATACAAAAAATGTAATTTTCCAAAATTTTGTATTAATTACAAATTAATAAATTGTACCTTAAAAGAAAATATTTAGCAATTTTAGTTTTCAATCATTTTAAAAAATTATTTTAATAAATATATCAAAATTGAAAAAATAAAAAATTTATCAAAATCTTTTTTTTTAAATTTGACATGTTTATATTATGTACATTTCTCATAAATAAGAATCCCTTTATTTATGTTTCTTATATTTAACTTTCATTATTACAAAATATCGTTTAAATTACTTGACAAATTGAATTACTAATTCCTAGTTTTTTTATGCTGTTAGTCTTTTACGTAGGCAACCTTCACAACATTTCTGGACACTTTCTTCCACAAGTCACATTCAGCTCTCAATTTTTATGGTGGAAATAAGATTGTGGCTTATAAAAACATCATATCGAAACAAAATAAATTTTAATTAGGTAATTCTTTATTTATTTTCGGTTTACGGTAAACAGCTCTTTTTTTGAGAAAGTGTCAAATTATTTTTTAAAAATTGACAAAGTAAAAAGTTTCATAAAAATCAGTCGAAAGTGTTGGATATAATTTAAAAAGAAAGAATAAGAGCAGATACTTATAGAGAAAAGGGCTCTTTATTAAACTTCTATATATGAAATAAGGTTTTAAGTAAAAATCTGCCTGTTATTACAAACAGGATTATACGATGTTTCTACGAGCGTCAATATTATTTCCGCTATACAAATAATTGACAGCTTTGATGTCGGAAATAAACTTATATTACCTGGTCGCCTATAGAAAGGGATTTTAAAATAGTAGAATAAGTAATTATTGTTTTATAATAGAAAATTTAGTAGCTCCAAATTTCTTTTAATATCTCATATAATTGAGGAATAAAAAAACATAATTAAATTAATTATTTGGATACAAAGGAATAAAATAAAAATTTTTATAGACAAGAAAACATGATTAAAGATAATTTAACAAATATATAAGGTAAAAATTAATACTTTTTTTATGATTTTGTAATTAATAAATAATTTTTAATTTTATATAATTTTCCAATTACTAATAAACTAATTTGCCTAAATAATACAAAAATATTCAATAAATTTTAGAAATAATTTAATTTTTTCAAAATTCTGTGTATTTGTCATTTTTAATATTTTTATTAATTATACAATTTAATAAATTGTACCTCTAGAGGTACTAATTAGCAATTTTAATTTTTAATCATTTTAAAGAATTATTTTAATGAATAACAAAATTAAAAAATTTTTTTTTCATATTTTTCGTTTTAATTTAACATATTTTATATATTATGTATATTTTTATAAACAAAAATCCCTTTATTTACATTCTTTATATTAGTTTTTATCATTGCAAAATATTATTTTTATAATTTTCAACAAACTAAAAGTTACTGCCCTGTTTTATCATACTGTTATGCCTTTACGTAGGCAACCCGCTTTACTCCACCTTTCTGTTGTGCGGCCATTCTTTCCCCAAATCAAGTCACCTACATCTGTAAATTGTCATTGTAATAATCATATTGTAACTCATAGAAACATCGTATCGAGACAAAGTAAATTTTTACTAATTCTTTATTTAATTTTATACTAAGGTAAAGGCCCACTTTTTTGATTAAGTGCTTAGTTTTTTTTAAAAAGTGATCAAAGTGGAAAAATGCAGGAAAGTGGGTTGGCAACACTGACAGTTCTCGACCTCCAACGCCGTTAAATTTTAATCACTTATTATTTTTAACGGTTTTAACCATGGACGTAAGAAATATAGGGACATGGCATATAGATGCGGGGGGATACTTTGCAGTCCGTAAGGGGAGGCGTTGGCAAATTCCTAATTGGTTAAGAAAATGTACGTGTTATATGGCAATTGGCGCCTGCGCATTAAGTCTACCAATAGGGAATCGACCAACGTAGCGCTTTCCCTTCCGATCTGCCAACGTACCCCCCTCGCCCATATTATTTGACTTTGATGCCTGTCCCTATATTTTTTATGTCCATGGTTTTAACATCATTTTCTAAATCAACAGTTTAGTATATACATTAAATTTTTAAGAATATTTTTGGAATCTCTGATGTTCATAATAACACAGGTTTACAAATTAAAAACTTTTTTTTGCCAATCGAACAAATCAATTTTTTTCGAATAGTAGGTGTTTTTTGAGTAAGAAAATCATAGTTTTAATTTTTTTCCCTCGTGCAGTTTTTCTGTAGCTTCAAATTTTCCATTTTCGAGGTGCGAAGCCACTTAAACTTACCTGTAGGAAAATTAGCTTGTCAAAATATAATAAATGAGATATCATTGGAAAGGTTATTAAATTACCTTTCGATCCATAGGTCACAGAATAAAATTCAACAAAAATTGAGAGAGTTACAGTCGATTAAAGATGAAATTTCATGACAATTTTGATGATTTTTAGACATTTGAGTAACTTCTACTATTTTTTTCTACATCAAACAGGAAAGAATGTTTAGGTTTTAATTTTTTTATTGATAGACTATATCATTACACATATTTTGAGCCCTTGTGGACCCCGATTGGATTAAAAATGACAATTCTACACTAAATGTAGTGAACGAAACTATATTCTTCATTTTTAGTATTCCTTAAACATTTGCAGCCAAAATTGAAGTAATAAAATTTAGTTAAGCTCTAAAGTTACTAAAATCACTAATAAAGGATTTCTGAAATCGTAGATTTCGAATCCAATGTTAGTTTTCTAAATTTAAAAATGGCGGATCCAATATGGCGGACAAGTTTTTAAAAATCGATTACATTCGTCTTAAATTCGTTACTCGGGGGTTTTCGGGGTCGCTGATTACGAATCTGATGTCAGATTTCGAAAATTGAAAAGGATGGATTCATAATGGTGAACGAGTTTTTTAAAATCCATCAAATTCGCACCTATTGGATCCGCCATTTTTAATTTTTGAAATCTGACATCAGATTCGTAATCAGCGACCCCGAAAACCCCCGAGTAACGAATTTAAGACGAATGTAATCGATTTTTAAAAACTTGTCCGCCATATTGGATCCGCCATTTTCAAATTTAGAAAACTTACATTGGATTCGAAATCTACGATTTCAGAAATCCTTTATTAGTGATTTTAGTAACTTTAGAGCTTAACTAAATTTTATTACTTCAATTTTTGCTGCAAATGTTTAAGGGATACTAAAAATGAAGAATGTAGTTTTGTTCACTAAATTTAGTGTAGAATTGTCATTTTTAATCCAATCGAGGTCCACAAGGGCTCAAAATTTGTGTAATGATATAGTCTATCAATAAAAAAATTAAAACCTAAACATTCTTTCCTGTTTGATGTAGAAAAAAATAGTAGAAGGTACTCAAATGTCTAAAAATCATCAAAATTGTCATGAAATTTCATCTTTAATCGACTGTAACTCTCTCAATTTTTGTTGAATTTCATTCTGTGACCTGTGGATCGAAAGGTAATTTAATAACCTTTCCAATGATACCTCATTTATTATGTTTTGACAAGCTAATTTTCCTACAGGTAAGTTTAAGTGGCGTTGCACCTCGAAAATGCAAAATTTAAAGCTACAGAAAAACTGCACGAGGGAAAAAAATTAAAACTATGATTTTCTTACTAAAAAAATACTTACTATTCGAAAAAAAATTGTTTTGTTCGATTGACAATTTCACTGTAAACCAGTGTAACTAATCATGTTAACATTTCGAAGTTTTAACCAATGTACAGACAGACGTCTGATTTTATTAATAAGGATATACAAATACAATATAATCATAATACAAACGAAATACAAAAATTTTTGTCAAGTAAAACTTTATTATCTTCGTAAAAACCGTTGCTAAATTTGCATTTACTTTAATAGTGTCCAAGTACCGGTGCTTTTACTTTAGTAATGTCTTTATTATTTCAGATGTTTGAAGGAACTAAAAGACAGATTTGTTACTGAACTTATAGAAAAGTATGGATCAAACGCTACATATAATTTAAAAATGTTAATCAAATTATGAAGACTAAGTCGTGGCCTAAAGTAACATAATTTTTTTTAATTTGGATTAAAAAATAAAAGGAGCAATAAATTATAATTTTGCCTCTGTAAAAATTTTTGTTTAAAAATCTGACTACAATTGAAAGGAACTTGTGGAATCTGGCACTGATTTTTAAAGAAGAAGAGATATCTATTTGCAAAACTACACTGGGGTCAAAAAGTTTCAGTACATTTGTACTGATTACTTTTAAATGCTCGCTTCACTTCAAATTCAAATATTTCTGTAAAAATAGATGTAAGAGCTATCAAAGTAGGATCATTTTAAAGTTCAATAAATTTAGAGTCAAATAGGCTAAGATATAACCAATTTAATAGTGTAAATATTGAAAATATAATTCTTTAAAGTTAGAGATTTCTCGTGAAAAATGCGATTTTGAAATCTAGAATTCAAGCGCACGCCAATTAAAGAAATTTTTTTTTTAAGATTTGATAGTTGCACAATATCAAGTACAAATTCCATTCTTTAATTCTTGACCAAAATAATTCACATATATTAAGTATTTTCTTCAAATTCTATAAAAATAACTTCCCTTGCTCTCGAAATTTTTCAAAGAATATTAATTGCAAATTCGTCGTTTTCGTTCACTTGTTTTTTCAATTAACCACACTTTTGAAAAATATGCACCTTTTTTTTATTGAAAAATAAAAAAATGGACACCTAGAATGAAAATAAGGAATAATGATAGAGTTAAAATTTGTAAAATTATAAGAAGAGGGATAAATTTCATGTAAATAACTTAAATTTCCTAAGATGAAGAGGTTCTATATTTTTCAAAATCCCTGTAAAAAAAAAGAATAGACCTTTTCATTTCAATTCGGAAGTCGCGAATGCGTCTGCGCAGCAACCATGACAGTTCACCAATTTTAAAAGTTTCGGCCCTGTTCTATTAACATGTGTTAAAACTTTACTTTTGCTCATGTTTTTTTAGAGAAAAGAAAATGTGTCCGGTGCAAAATTGGTATCAAATTTAAACATAAAAACACGCAGTTAAATTTGCAATTAAAAATATCACTGCAAGTGCAGAAAACAGTCAACTAAAAGAAGAAAAAAGAGTTGGTTCCAGAGTGAGGTTATGTTTACTATATATTGACATATTGTTATTCGCTGATGAAATGTGAAAACACAATAGTTACCTCTTTCACTTTTATTTATTGTTTTTATTAACGTTGCATGTAGAAATGCAAAAAAACTAAAATAAATTATTGATATTTAAAAAATAACTTATTGATAAAATAATTAATATATGCTCCGTCATTAATTTTTTCATTAAATTTATTCCAGTATTTGTTATAATTATTATACTCCATTTTTATGCAACATATAATAATTTAGAACACTTTTTATAATTTTTTTCATATCTGAATAATGCAATAGCTGTAAACAGGGCCGAAACTTGAAACGGAATTTCAATTCCATATAACGCATGCGCAAAGAAAATAATTGAAATGAAAAGGTCTATTGGGTGGTCCGGGATTTCGAATTGGGATGTCGTTTCTTGAATTCGAGAAAACGACTTTTTCGAATTGGACTGATTTCTGAATTCAGAAATGTATGGTTCCGCGATCAACCCAATTCGACAGATATTTTAAAGATGAAAATAAAGAGTTTAACACTTCACTGGACATTGAACAGTAGTTAATTGAGACGGTGCACGTTATTCACGTAGGTGAATACATTTCTTTAAGCAATAATGTTAATTTTCAATAAAATAGAGAGAATTAAAAATTTGATGTGGTCTTTGTTTACAATAGAAAAAGTTTTCTACTTTTAGGGTTATTAAAACAGCTTACTTATCGACAGCTGAGAAGTATTACGATAACAAATCAAATGATGATTTCTATACGAAAGTATCATTTACTTCGGTAATTGAATATTAATAAATTAATTTTAAATTTTTGTTTTTTAAATGTATTTAAAAGTCAACAAGTTTGCTATGGAAGTTTTAAATAAGTCTATTTTACTTTACGAGGAATTTTTCTTTCAACATTTTTAGTTTTGTTTCTGAATAAATAATGAAAAGAAATTTACTTCCGTGAAGGTTTGTTGTTCTAGGACATTTCGATTTCAACTTTGGTGCTCATTTTAGTCTCCATAATTTTTTTTAAATTTGATTAACAAAACCTTATTTTTTCAAAAGAATTTGCTTTACTGTACAGCTTGATTTGATTTTTTTATGTTAATCAAGAAATGTAAAATTAAATATAAATTTCTCTTTAGTTCAAATGGAGCAAATTACAATAATTGTATCATAAAAATAAATGAGGCTAAAGCAGAATTATTTTTCTTTACTCTTTATTTCTCTTGTGAATATTTACATTTAGGAATCATCTATATTAAGTATATTTAAGAGAGCATCATTGTTGTCATCGAAATGTATTAAAATAAAATATTTTTTTCATACTGAATAAAATTTATTTTTATAAAACTTCAGTGTCACAGGAACCAGAAGGAGAAAATTTATGAATTAACATTTTATGCAGAAATTTTTTTTAAATTTATATATAAACGTTATTTTAATTGTTTAACAAGATTTTAAATAAACGAAATATTTTAACATTATTTACTTATACTTAATTTAATCCTAATTTATAAAATTGAAGAATAAATAATTTAAAAACGGTTTAATTATGAAAATCAAGAAAAGAAATTATTTTTTTGTTGATTCAAATAAATTGTTTTAAAATTATTATTTTTATAACAAACATATAATTATATTTTGAAAAAAATATTAATTACAGTAATTATTGTAAATTTTTTTTAAATATTCTTAATAAAAAATTTTTAATCCGTTTAAAAATTTAAAATTAATTTATTAATATTCAATTACCGAAGTAAATGATACTTTCGTATAGAAATCATCATTTGATTTGTTATCGTAATACTTCTCAGCTGTCGATAAGTAAGCTGTTTTAATAACCCTAAAAGTAGAAAACTTTTTCTATTGTAAACAAAGACCACATCAAATTTTTAATTCTCTCTATTTTATTGAAAATTAACATTATTGCTTAAAGAAATGTATTCACCTACGTGAATAACGTGCACCGTCTCAATTAACTACTGTTCAATGTCCAGTGAAGTGTTAAACTCTTTATTTTCATCTTTAAAATATCTGTCGAATTGGGTTGATCGCGGAACCATACATTTCTGAATTCAGAAATCAGTCCAATTCGAAAAAGTCGTTTTCTTGAATTCAAGAAACGACATCCCAATTCGAAATCCCGGACCACCCAATTCTTTTTTTTTTTACAGTGAACAAGTGAATGAAAACGACGAATTTGCAATTTATATTCTTCGAAAAATTTAGAGCAAGAGATATTATTTTTATAGAATTTGAAGAAAATACTTAATATATGTAAATGATTTTGGTCTAGAATTAAAGAATGAAATTTGTACTTTTTATTGTGCAATTATCAAAACTTAAAAAAAATTTTTCTTCAATTGGCGTTCGCTTGAATTTCAGATTTCAAAATTGCAATTTTCACAAAAAATCTCTAACTTTAAAGACTTATATTTTTAATATTTACACTATTAAATTGGTTATATCTTAGCCTATTTGACTCTAAAATTGAACTTTAAAATGATCCTACTTTGATAGCTCTTACATCCATTTTTACAGAAATATTTGAAGTTTAAGTGAAGCGAGCACTTAACAGTAATCAGTACAAATGTACTGAAACTTTTTGACCCCAGTGTACATATATCTTCAGAAAAACCTTCTTTTACTTAGTTCTGAAGAACTGTAACTGTTTTATTACGCGGAGAAACTTTTACTTGTAATATTCAATATGTTTGGTTATCTTTACTCTAAAAGATGTTTTGAATGTACAAAAATTATAGTATCTGCATTATAAATAATTTTATTTTTCTGTATAAAAGAATAGAATGTCTTTTAAAGAGTTGAAAGGTTGAAAATATTGAAGAAGAGTGTAAGTGTGAGTGTCCTAAAATAAAAAAATACCGATTGCAAGAAGGGAATAAGAAATTTTATAAAAATGTAAAAGAAATGAAATCTGATTTTCCTTTTTATTTTTTTTAAATGAAAATTATGTAATCCAATTTTAACCGTCTACCTACGCTAACTTGACCCCACTCTAGCGCTTTTGAATGTATTTTTTTAAACAAATAAGCATATCTTCAAAACGGCGTGCTTGTTTAAAAATCTGAGTGGTGACGTTGTAGAGGATCATTTTTTGATGAAAATAAGCCATATTACACTAAAATCGAACTATTTTTAAAAAATTCTATAGGAGCGATATGACAAAAAATATGGATTGTATGTATAAATTGTATAAACAAATAAATTTCTTAATAAAATAATAAGATTTGAAAGTAATTCTGTAGTAGTGGTAATTGTTACAAAAATTTTCAAAAAATATTATTATTATTAGACTTCTTATTTCAACTTGATTCCTTAATTTTTCAACATAATTATGAAAAGAGAAACACAGGAAAAAAAATCTGACTCCGTTTACACCTTAAATTCAGCCCATGTATTTCACATAAGTCTGTCCTTGTTTAACTGGGCTGACTCCGTTTACACCTTAAATTCAGCCTCAAAAATAGGCTAAAAGTAAGACTTTTTTTAGTGTGAAATAACAATCTACTTCTAAAATCGAAATGCCTTTTAGATAAATACAATAAAATGTATTTTAAATTTAAGTTAAAAATTTTTATGGTATAATATAACCTTAAACTCAATAATTAATTTAGTTGACATAAAATTCAATGTTTTTTATTAATTACCAAGGAAGACTTGATGTTTTTTGTATAATGTAGTGGTGTATTTTATTTTATGTGAAAAGTTATTCAATTTATTTTTGCTATTTTTTAATTTAAATTAAAGTTATACAAATATATCAGTACGCCAACATCCGTATGTCATATTTTCTTTTGAAACTAAATTAAAAAAATAAAAATAAACATATATTTCTATGTAAATATATGTTTTTACATCCATTTTTTAATCAGAAGTTATTTTATTTTTTGCGTAGGACCTAAGCAATTTATTTTAATTAAATAATTGAAAGAGGAATTTATATATTTATTAAAGTACTACATTTTTGAGACAAGATAACTTTTTTATAAAAGTATTAAATTGATTAAACGACAACTAAAATAAATGCTTAATGTTACTTTTTGGCATATTAAGAATGATTAATGTGTCGCAAATATTCAGGAGCGTGATAATGTTGGGCGTGGGCAAGTGATGGATGAATTGGCGGAGGAAAACAGCGAACATGTTCAACGCTTGTCGCGTCACTATCCCCACTTTTCAGGTACTTGTTTAATACAGCAAATATCTGGGAATTTAAAACTTGGAATCTTCTGATTCGGTCCACCATTCTCTTCAAGTGCTATTAGAAAATATTTAATTAGATTAACAAAATTTTAGTTAAAATTAAAAAATTGATTTCTTGAGTTTATTTTACTTACAATTCCCTTTACATTTTCGTCCTTTCCATCAACTCGTTGAACTCGAAGAATATGGTAGCAAAAATCAAGAGCCTCAAACCTTCGTTGCTGTCCAAGAAGAACAATCATCACACATCCTGCCCAATGCAAACCTTCTCCAAATAATTGTCTGTAACAAAAAGTGATGATTTATGTTAAATTTAATTTAATTTAATTAAATATAATTTTTTTAATTAACCTACGAGTTATTTCGAGAGGATATTTACTTGTGTATTAGCGTGTACGCTCCTCACGTAATAGTCATGTAATAGTCACGTAATAGAGTGTAATAGAGCATTATTACGTGAGTGTAATACCGCATAATATAGAGGTCAGGGATGGGTACGTATTATACATGATGTATTATACCTGGTTTTCTACACGTATAATACGTGGTATTATACATCTTTAGTTTTCTACGTATGTCATGTATTTTACATACATTGCGTGACGCGCGGGATTTTTAAATTTTAGACAAGAAACATGTGATTTTAATAGTATATTAAATAAATTTTAAACATAATTTCAATTTAAAAATTTATTAATTAACATTGAAAAGTTTTTTTAAAATTTATGTTTTAAAGAAATAGCACACAAACAAAGTTCTAACTGTTCGTGGTCAGGTCAGGTTGTCTGCTGCCGCCAGACCCATTTATAGGTTATACATCTCCATGTGCCAGGCCATGTGTCAGTGATTGTTGTACAATATTGCTTTTTTTAAAATAAAAAAAAATTAACAAAAGAGGTGGAAGGCCGAAACACAATTCCTGGGAGGAATTGTGTTTTATTCCCAAAAATAATAAAGGGAAAAATGTTGCCCTGCCTGTGTCCTATTTGCAACAAAACATTGCAAAATACAGCTATAATAATAATTTAGTACTTTTGTATGAAAAAGTTTATTTGAAACCCGTTTATTTTCAAATAAATAATAAATTAACGTGTCTTTTTAAAATTGTTCTATATAAATATATAATACAAGTTATGAAAAAATGTGTGTAAAAAACCATATGAAAAATCAATAAATATATATTATACGCATTTTTTTGTAAACTTACCTTATATGTAACCTTTTTTGGTTTTTTCTTGGTATTTTTAGCAACAATTTAGTAATGAAAACCAGGAAACAAATAAAAAATAATCAAACATATGATTTTTATTATTATTGTGAGGTTTGTACGCATGCGCAGAACTGGACATGTATAATACCAGGTTTTCTACAATTTTCTACGTATTATACGTCATTTATGTATTATACGTAGAAAACTCCGAAAAAAACACTTTTACCCATCCCTGATAGAGGTAATATTCTGTAATAATCAATAATACCCTGTAATAGTTCTGTAATACCCTGTAATACTGGATAATACGCGTAATAGCAGGAAAATTTAGTGTATTAGAGTGTACACCATTTTAATCAGTAATTACCCCCTCGAGTTATTTGATTCAAACGCTTATGTGATCTGTCACAATGCAACATTTTTTAAGAGTAAAAATTTTATCAAATAATATACGATATCAAAATATGCCTACTTACTCAACAGTGAATTCTGTTTCTCCCACAGGAATACAATAAACGAATTGAAGGGCACTCCAGAGTCTGTGAAACTCAGTGCATTCGTCAATATTCATAACCCCATTTGCAGGAGGTGGTCCAACCCAAATTGGATCATCCAAAAAACTTCTAAGTCTACTTAGGACAACTTCAAAGATCGAAAGACCACAGCAAAGCCTCTCTCGCGTTAATAAATCTCCTTCCCTTGCTATCATGGCTTGCTAGAATAATTAGTTATTTCTCTTTTTATAAATATTACAAAAATTTAATAGAAATTGTGATAAATCATTAAATATTAAAATCATGTACTTTAGCAGTTCCAAGTTTATCGACGTTTAGAACAATTTGAAGTGCAGCATACTTTGATTCCAGTCTTTTCTGTTTCGCCTCCGGTTTTTCTCCTTCTATTGAAGAAAAAACAAAAGCACAACATATAAATATTTTGAATATAATTTTTTATAGAGGTAGGAATGTGGCGCTTCTAATATTTAAATTAACCCCTTTGATGTGACTAATCTCTACAAGGTCAATACCATGTTGTGTTAGGGAATTAAAAAAAAAATAACTAGCTGATACGATATTACTGAAAAATGCTTACTTAGGTGTTTTTGTGGTCTCTGAATCTGTAGTCAAAATTGAATAATTCAGAACAGCGGTTTTAAAGTGTCAACTAAAAGTAATTTAAATAATAATCTTCCTGAAAATGTTTAGTCTGTAATTTTAGGGGTATAATTGCTTTTTTAAAAACCATTGCTTTTACAAATTCATGGCTCTTCGAAAAGAGGAGGGGGGTTATGAAATTGTGACAGTTTGTTACAAGGGGGAGGGGGGATGTTTCTAAAACCGTGACATTACAAACTTAATTTAAAAGTAATTTCTTTACCTCAAATAATAAAATTTTTTCATTACTGGAAGTTTAAATATTTTAAGTACGCACGCCTTTTTAGCTTCGGCACTAAACCACCAAAGTTATACAGTGATGGTATTCGAATGACTGTCTTCTTCTTTTTTTTATTATTTTTGTAAAATGTATTTTTCGATTTTTTGTTGGTTTATCTTATGTAGATCTATGATTTTCCATTAAAATCTTTAACCACCCTTATGATGGCTCTCGATCAGAGGCCGAAACGTCGGTGAATTAAAAAATAAATTGAACCAGTTTTGGTAAATGAAAAGGATGTAAAAGGAGTCACTCCAAATACAATACTTTCCACTCACGGATCCTGAAGGCTCAAAAAAACTTGCACGACAAGCTTGCTGCAAGATTATGTGCTACTTAGGTAGCATGCTTTTATCTTACTTTTTATTTGAAGATATAAAAAAATATCTATTTTTACTACGGTCGGAAATTGTCGATCCGTTTGACGGGAGTGGATAAGAAATCACAGCTTTATTTAAACAACGATATCTTGGATAAAAAATGAAGATATAAACTTAAATTTTACGGATTTGGAAAGCTTATGAAATTGTGCACCATATGGACTTTGGTCAATGTTTTTTAACATTATAAAGTTGTAGCATTATTTGATAATTTATAGAACAGATTTTTCTAAATTATCAATTATAAATTATGCTCGTTTCGTTTTCCCAAGAGACTGTATTGTATAGGATACTCCTAAACTCCATAATTGTAATTTGGAAAAAAGAGTGTCTAAGGGGCTCCAAGTAAGCACCCACTTTAGGAGACGCTTATTCAGTCCTAGGGAAATGAACTGACTGAGAAACGCGGCGATCGACGACTCATACACTGAAAAACTGTTGGTAGAGCTGTTCGCCCAATGCGGTGAACTGCTGCGTTAAAAAGAAACGCACAGCTCACTTTATTTTTGGGCGAGTTACTCTCCTTTTTGGGCGAGCAACTCTCCTTTTTGATAGAGCTGCTGACCTTTTTGTCAAGCAGCCGCTCGCCAACGCCATTGGTAGTCAAGTTTAGGAGAGCAACTCGCCTAATTTTGATAGAGCTGTGAGTTTAAAGTTAAGTAGCGCTGCACAACAGTCAATAGCGGAACTGCTCTACCAACAGTTTTTCAGTGTACGCGGAAATTTTTTGTCATATCTCGGAAACCGATTAATATTCTTTAAATGTCAACTAATAAAAAACATTAATTTCTTTTGTAGTTCTTACCTTTACAATAAGGCCTTGGTAGAATATTTTGAAATGGAGCAGCATGTAACAAGTCACAAACTTCTTCTTGTGATAAAGCCTGTTCCATTAAAAGGCAAAATAAAATGGTGTTTCCAAATTCCCTAAAATTGTGAAAAAGCTCTGTTTTAGCGTCTGGATATTGAACAATGTCATTCAATTGAGCGTGATAATAGCCTAAAACTCCAGGAGATCCATAATCGTATCTTGGTAGCTTGCAAACCTTCGGCATCGCTTCCATAAGTGTTTTAGTAAATTGAAGAAGACTTCCTTGAATTAACGATTTAACGATTTTTAACAACTCTTCCATAACCACGGCAATTCCTTGATATCCAAGAAGCTTACACATGGTTCGAAAATGATATGGACCAACAAAACCAGAATATTGTCCATATTGGGTTGTGTAAGCAAGGTTTAATTGTTTACTTCCCCACAAGTAATGATGAGACATTTGTGGAGGTTTGTCTCTATGAACTGGTTGGACAAACTGAATTCCATGACATTTTACGAATCTGAAAATTTATAATTTTTTATCAATGTACTAATGGAAATTTTTTTTCTAAATTCCTACTACGCTGAGTCTAAAAAAGTAGTGATGTCATGGGGGACATGTATGTTGCAGGGATGGCTTCATATATATGTCGTAGCCACATTGTGAAAAACCGCACTTCATGAAATGCCTAGACGTTTCATGAAGTGCAGGCACATTGTGAAAAAAATATTTACTTCACCATGTGTCCAATATTTTTGGACATTTCATGAAGTGCAACAGCCAATTATGCATTTTGTGAAACTAAATAAAATTTCACAATACGTCCAAATATAAAATGCATTTCATGAAATGCCCAAGTCGTTGAATGCCGATAATGAAGAAATTGTATTAACTTTCTTAGTATTATTTCTACGGTATGTATAATCTCAAATTAAAATCTGATTCCCCACCTTAACCGATTAATTAGTCATTCATTTACAAATCAATGTCATTATCTGTCTATTAATGTAGTGTTGTTAGTACATTTGAAAAAGAAAGACTGATTATCTAATATAAATTTTTTTTAATTTATTTCAATTTTCTTAATTATAACAAATTAAATTTCTTTTATTTATATTTAAATTATGGTTTTACAGATTACTTACAGTTTATTCTTTGTCGACACTATTTCACTACCACGCGCGTCACAGATTCGTTTTCCATTTTTTAAAAAATATAAATTAGATAATCAGTCTTTCTTTTTCAAATGTACTAACAACACTACATTAATAGACAGATAATGACATTGATTTGTAAATGAATGACTAATTAATCGGTTAAGGTGGGGAATCAGATTTTAATTTGAGATTATACTTACCGTAGAAATAATACTAAGAAAGTTCATACAATTTCTTCATTATCGGCATTCAATGACTTGGGCATTTCATGAAATGCATTTTATATTTGGACATATTGTGAAATTTTATTTAGTTTCACAAAATGCATAATTGGCTGTTGCACTTCATGAAATGTCCAAAAATATTGGACACATGGTGAAGTAAATATTTTTTTCACAATGTGCCTGCACTTCATGAAACGTCTAGGCATTTCATGAAGTGCGGTTTTTCACAATGTGGCTACGACATATATATGTCGTAGGCAACTAGAAGAATCCGGCATTAAGCTTAATTCCTAGGCAATAAGCTTACTGCCGGCAATTAGACGAATACACGACAAAATCGTTCAGATTTGTCTATTTGCCTAGGCAGTAAGCTTAATGCCCGATGAAGATTCGGCAATTAGACGAATCACATTAGAATCCATTTGCAGTGCACAAACGTCCTATAAAAAATTAATTAAAAACAATAATAATGATAATAATATAATGATAATAATATTCCTTGACTCATATAAATAATTATCGACTAAAATAAATATTGCTTGAGTCAAATAAACTTTCTTAACTGAAATAAATCATTCTGGACAGAATTAAATATTTCTTGGGTAAAAAAAATATTTCTTGAGTCTAATAAACATTTCTTGGATCAATTAAATAATTCTGGACAGAATTAAATATTTTTTGAGTAAAAAAAATATTTCCTGAGTCAAATAAATAATTTATATTTTCCTAAGAAATATTTTTTTTCATCCAAGAATTATTTCTTTTTGAGTCAAAAAATATTTATTAGACTCAAGAAATATTTCTCAATGATAACAAATATTTATAAGAGTCAAGAAGCATTTATTTGAGTTGCCTAGGCCTTGAGTTGCCTAGGCAAATAGACAAATCTGAACGATTTCGTCGTGTATTCGTCTAATTGCCGGCAGTAAGCTTATTGCCTAGGAATTAAGCTTAATGCCGGATTCTTCTAGTTGCCTACGACATATATACTTCTAAAAAAGTATATTGTATATGAAACCACTCCTAATGTCCGCACAAAAAGTCTTTGCCCCTCAGAATTTGTTAACTTTGCAAGCTTATAATTCTTTTTAAAAAATTGTTTTAATTTTGGAATAAACAGTTAATAAAGCGTAGTTTATCTGTGCAAATAAATATATGCTATTCCTAAATGGAAAACATTTTTTTCCTAATTTGTAATCAAATATGTATAAAAATGGCCCTTAAAAATGATACTTTATAAAATGTATGTACTTTCACTAGTCCCTGTGATGTTATTAACAATGGAAAAAATTTACAAAACGTATAGCAGATTTGTTAATAATTAACCTTTATATAGAAGTTTAAAAAATCCTAAAATTATGTTAATTATCGTTGTAATGAGCATTTTTATGCTAATGTGCTATCTGGCTTTAAAATGAAGATACAGCTTTGCGACAAATTGTAAAATATCCAGTACAACATTCAAAAATATTTAAGCTAAGAAGTTGTTAATTAATAATTTTAATTTTTAAGAAAAAAGGCATTTTTTGGATTGAATATTGAATTGAAAAAAAAATTTCAGAAAAAATTTAGTGCCACTTGCTGCTCGGAAACATGGCTCACCAGTAAACTATACCTGGGCTTTGGGAGTCAGGGATGTATAATGGAATATTGCAGTAGGTGAAGCCCCTTTAACATAAAAATATTTACGACTATTCTCATTTTCCATGACACATCCCTGAGTTTAAAAACCTACAAAGGTTTGGTCTTGAAATTGACCGTAAGAAACTCTCCGGTCGGCAAGTTGCACTTGTCTATGCGACCCTTTTTTTCTACGTTTTTTATGCTAAATGTGAAATCGACACCTCATTAAAAATTGAAAATTTTCTAAAAGGATAAAGAGCACAATTTAAATTGCATTCAGATACAAGTCTTCAAATTTTGTTTAATTTTCCAAAATATACATTTATTAACAAATCTGCTATACGTTTTGTAAATTTTTTCCATTGTTAATAACATCACAGGGACTAGTAAAAGTACATACAGTTTATAAAGTATCATTTTTAAGGGACATTTTTATACATATTTGATTACAAATTAAAAACAAAATTTTTTCCATTTATGAATAGCATATATTTATTTGCACAGATAAACTACGCTTTATTAACTGTTTATTCCAAAATTAAAAAAAAATTTTAAAAGAGTTATAAGCTTGCAAAGTTAACAAATTCTGAGGGGCAAAGACTTTTTGTGCGGACATTAGTATGTAGACAATAAACCACGACGTTTAACATTTTATTTTATAAAATTCGATGACTTTCATGTATCATTCTTTACCTGTTTGTCGCTGCATTGTAGCAATAATTAGGAAGAAAGTCATAATTAAGTTCCCAAAAGACATGAAGAGTTATTCTTCCATAAGGAGCAAGGACATTGTGATTTGCTTCACGAAACATTGCATCATATTCGTCTAAAGCTAACCATTTACTCAACAATTTATGAGTCAGGCGATTTACTTGCAGAAGGCCGTCGAGTTCCTATAAACATTTGAGTCATTAAAATATATTATTAAAGTAAAAGCGAATATTATTTATTTAAAATGAAAAAATACATTATATGTGACGCGATCTGAAGAAAGGGACCTTAGAAGCAAATCATTTTAAGGTTGGGTTAGAGTTACTTTTTTCTTGTTTGAAAGTTTCTTTTTACTTATTTCGAATTAAAATCAGTGTTTATTAAATATTTTAGTTTTAATGAAGACTTAAACTTCAATGATTTATATTGACAGTTGATCCTTTTTTTGTATTTTCAATTAAAAAATTGCAAACATAACCTATAATTTCTTGCTTCTAAGGTCCCTTTCTTCAGATCGCGTCACATATGTTTTAAGCTTTTTATAACGATAACCAAATTGATTTATTAGCTAAATAACGATAAAATTACTTTTTTCACTTACGACAACTCCAGTAATATCTCCAGATTCGAATTTGCTAATTGCGAGATCTAAAGATTTTTGCATATCAGCATTAATTCTTTGTGTAATTAGTTTATTTAAATCAATACTTCTTCCCAATAATTGCACATGTCTTTGTTTCAATAAAGTTTCGTATCTATTCGCTCTCGGATAAGGTAATAAATAAGCTCCTAATGTTATGCACTCGACCCTGAATCTCTTATCCAAAAGAATACTAGCAGCTAATTGTTTATAATGTGCAAATATCTGTTCGCTTAATTTATAAACAAACTGATCAAAACACAAGTTTACCTCAGCCTCAACTTCATCATAAAGAAATTGTTTTCTAAAAATCGTCAACGCGTAAAGAGCGCTGTCGTTGTACAGATCCAAAGGATATAAAACATATCTGAAATAAATCCATGATTCTTAATATTTCATTCTAAAATTAGGAGAAGATGTGGTACTTGAAACATTAAATGCAGATAGATTTTAATTGTTTATAGATTCATGTTCATACAGGAACCTGAAGCATATAATCGAATTGCTTTCCCGTAGAGAGAGCATTGTGATTCTTAAAAAAATTAACTTTTTTAAAATACATTAAACAACAGACGAGGGGTAAATATGTAAAAATTGCTATCGAGTATATTTGATTCAAATTAATTCTTTGACATTTAAATAATTCTGATGGCCCTTTCATGATTTTTAAAAATTCTTGACAGCCTGATTGTATTGATTAATTGGAAAGTTAAAAGATTTATGAGTTTTACCTCAAAGTAGTTTTTAATCATTTTAGTTTCTTTTTTAAAATCACATTTTTCGAAGCTATGCACAACTGCTCGACCACTTCCATTAAACATTTATACATATATCTTCTCATTAACGTGTATTTGAAAAATTTTCATTCATTTTTAAAGTTTATTTTTTATCCTAAACTCAACTCTTTTCTTTAAAGTGCTCCCACTTTCCAGAAAAGATTTCAAGAAACCTTGGTTTATATGTGACGGTCCACGACAAAACGTGGCTTAGCTCCCAAAAAATTAATATCGAGTTTTAATAGTACTCTATAGATTTTGAGTTCCTCTTTCACGTACAAAAGTCTAAAATACGTTTTACTTGTAGATTTTTTTGTTATTAATGTTCAAATACGAGCATAATTTGAACCAATCAGGAATGCTCAAATTCTAATACGTTTCTCGTAGAATTTCTATTTGGGAGCTAAGGCACGTTTTCTCGTGGACTGTCACATATGTTAAATTAAAACTCTACTCTGTAGGGTGCCAATTCTTGATATTTAGGTGCAAATAATTTTTATTTCTTTGATATTTTGAGACGCATGCATTTCCCCTAAACGCTAAGTCGTCGAATGTTCAAATAGTCCAATACCAAGTAGTCGAATGGATAAAAGGTCGAATGCTAAAAACATCGAATCGTCAATTCGTCGAATGCTCAAAACATCGCACTTTTATGCCCTTAAATTTCAAACCAGTTGTTAAGTTAGTAAGTTAAGTTTTTTTATTTTTATCCAATTCGATTCTCTGTAACCAGATGACCAGAATCTAAATTCCCTTTAATGTCGTTTAAGGGGACCGACAGATTAGCTCAGTCGGATAGATGCCTCGCTTGGCGGACGTTTTAGGACCAAGGGTAAGTACCCTTGGTTCGCGCCCATTTGGCTTGGTATTTTTCTGGCACGTGAGATAATCTGAGCGGGAGGTTTGACGTCGAGGTATAATGATGTGCACCGTCGATTATTGTCCGGTACACACCATTAGAACTCGACTGTCGATAAACCGGTTGTACTCAGGAGAGGTTTTCTACAGTTACCCTCTCCACTGGCGAGAAAACCCATTAGACGGGTGGTCCAGGCAAATGCGAGTACTCCTAATTTTCAAGTCGTTCTGTAGGCGCAAAAATTTAGAATAAGTATGTAAGAAAATGTAGTATGTAAGAAAATTTCCTCGAGGACACTTGTAAACGCTACACTGAAAAAAAAAGTTCATTGAATCAAGTAAATGCATTTTCTTGACCTGATTTACTTGAAACAAACCCATATTTTCTTATTGGAAGAAATTTATTTTCTTGTGTCAAGTAATTTTGAGCATTGATCAAAGTTATTGGAATAAGAAAATATGGGTTTGACATAAGTAAATATCTTACTGTTTCAAACAAACTGTTTTACATGCGCCAAGTCTCGAAAAAGTATTGAATCAAGAATATCATGTTCTCACGTCAAGTAATTTACCTTGAGTCATTTGGTATCTTGAGTCAAATAATTTTTTTATTTCCTTTAAAGCAACTATTTATTTCATCCAACACCCATAGTCTTGAGCCAAGAAAATGGGAAGATTAATACAAGTTAATAATTGTTTCAACTCAATTAAAAATTATTTTGTTTCAAAGAAATATTAATTAATCTAAGCATTTCTTTTACTTGAAGCATTTCTATATTCTCATGTTTCAAAATCATTAATTTCTTGCGAGAATGTTATATTTTCTGGAATGAAATATTTTATTTATTCAATTCAATTAAGTGTAAGATCTTAATATAAGTAAATATTTGTTTCAAGTCGATTAAAAATTATATTCAATTAATCCCATATTTATTTGAAGAAAGAAATTCATTTTCTTGTGTCAAGTAATTATTAGCATTGAACAGAATTCTTGAATTAAGAATGTAGTATTTGGCGGAACTAAATATGTAATTATTTCAACCAAATATTTTACTTTTCCGAAGTACCAAAAAGTATTGAATCTAGAATATATGTTCTTAAGCGAAATAATAAAGTATTGTCTGGAGAATTCATGTTTCTTGAATCGAATCATTTTATTTATTTGCTTTGAAACTTTTTTTTACTTAACACAATGCCGGTGTTCTTGATCCAAGAAAATATTTTTCTTCAAATGTATATGCAACTTAAATATCAGTTTTTGAAAACTGTCCATTGAGGCTAGGATGGCATAGTGGTAGCGTGACGGCTTCTGGTGCGTGCAACCCGAGTTCAATTCCTCCGACCGTGGAAAATTTTCTTTCAAGGTATATTTGTTGTATTTGTGTTAAGTATTAATTAAATGTAAATATATATGTAAAATAATAATTATTTAATTATTTAAATAAAAAATATAAATGTTAATTAATTAAATAATAAAAATGTTTGACCTAAGTATTAGAAAAGATGGGATGGAGGTAAGGGGGGGGGGTAATTTAAGTAAATAATTTACTTGTATTGAGAAAGTATTTTTTTGATTGAAAACTATAAATTTTCTCAAATCAAGAAAATATTTTCTCGGACAGAGAACATACTTTCTTGATTTGATACATAAATGATTTTGAATTAATATATTCTGCATTTCTTACATGCTACTTAACTTCTTGATCGAATTCCATATTTTCTTGGATCAAGAATATCTGTTCTTCTCACAAAATAAATGTTTTCTTCATTTAATCTTGAATTACTTGAACGAACGTTACAAAACATTGAATGAATCGAATAAAATAATTCAATCATCTATATATATTCTTAGAACAAGAAAATATTTTATTCATTTAATACATTTTATATTTCGTATAAGAAGATTAACTTCTTGGTCGAATTCCATATTTTCTTGGATCAAGAATATATGTTCTTCTCCCAAATATCCTATGTCAAGAAAATCGTTTTCTTGAATCAATACTTTAATAGTCTTGGCCGTATTCAATCCCACGATGTGCTTCAACCAAGAAAAATTTTCTTGGTTCAATACTTTTTTTTTTTTCAGTGTAGTACTAAGGCAAAAAGACGAGTGTATAAATAAATAAATAAAAAAATAATGTCGTTTAAGGGAATCATTAGTTGCGGAGTTAATTCCCTATAATAATTAACTTTATTCCCTTAAACGGCATTAAAGAGAATTCAGATTCTGGTCATGCAGTTACTGAGAGTTGAATTAAATAGAAATAAACAACTCAACAATAGTAAAAGGAATTCGTTACGATTGCGGACAAAAACGGAATTGGTTTGGAATTTAAGGGCATAAACAAATTTTTTAGGCTAGTTTTCAGAATTAGGAAATGTTGAGACTGTTTTTGTTGAAAAATAATGTCTTTGAGTCCTGATGATACAAAAGAAAAAGGTAACTGTTACTTCCAAAAAAACATACTCGCTTTTTACGGTTAACTGCTAACCCTTATGACAGAGCGCGCCTCTGTCTCGTATTGAGGAAAGCAGGGATCTTTTAAATTTTTTCAGTGTAGGTTATCTTAATTTTACAAATGAGAGACATAGAACAGGAACGACAATGAAGAAGCATTCCGGGAATAAGAAGATAAGAAATCTTGACGAGTGTAAATTATCCATTATTACTAGAGAGGTTTGTTAACTAATTTTATGCTGTTTTGCATTGCGGTGTTGTTTTTAGCAGAATTCCTGGATTAGATGTGTGGAGAGTTGGATATTTGGCAGTTTTTACAGAGGCAGAGCAAATTCACTATCCGGATTCAATGCAGATAATTTATTTTATACTTCACTGTGTTAAAGTAAATCATAGTAAAATCTCTCGTTAAAACTGTTAAATAACAAGTATGTAACCTAACACATTTTTGTAGACTGGGAATGCATATTATCTCTTATAAGTATAAAAACCTGCAGGTTTTATGAAGTCATTAATCGCTCACAGTTCTTACGGTAATATAATCGATAACATAACTATAAATTGAAGAGTAGGCTCAAAAAATTTTAAAGCAAAATTCAAAGTTTTTTATGTGCTATAGTTGACAAATTAAAATGTATTAAGGCCGATATTCTTAGAAAAAATAATTAAAAATGTAAAAAAAATTTTTTTAACTTAAATAAAAATGAAAAATTCTGCACGTAGAGCGAGTAAAGAAATCATATCAGGGCCATAAGCAGATATCAATGCCTTATAGTTTTTGTTAAAATGGATCAAACTTCAAACATTGTTTCTAGCAGCAATAAAATGATGTTGAACTGTCATTGAATTTTAAATAATTCTTCCCTTAAAAATTCTTAAAAATACAATAAAAATGAGCCTTCTAATTTGGTTACCCCCTTAAATTCATTGTAAGCAGGAACACTTCGGAAAGTGAGATAGTAAAGGTACACTCTCACCTCACTGCCTGCCTGCCTGCGCAGGCAGGCGCAATGAGAGTGAGAGAGAAAAAACATTTAATTTGAATTTTCTGACTCTCTTACTCTCATGCGTTACCGTGACAACCGGCAGGCAGGCAGGCAGTAGGAGCTGTGCTAGCGCCTTTACTCCTAGCAAGTCTGTGTTGAGTGCCTAGTGGCATTTTTGGTACCTATACTTATTTAGTTTTTTAAATTTGTTTTTCCCTTAGTATTTCCTCAGAGTAAAGCGCATTTTAAATATATGCATATAAGTAGTGAAATATGGCAATAATTTGAATCAATTACATGCAGGAACAACTTTTATACATTCTTCTTTGTTCAATTCTATCTTTTTGTATTCGTTCAAGTACCTAAATTTTCCATAAAACTATTTGCAAGAAATTATAAATATTTTATATATTTTTAGAGTGTCCAGAGTAGTTTGTAATTCAAACCATTCTTAAAAGCTATTTAATTCTCGTGAGTCTTAGTACCTAGGGATTTTAGAAATCAATGGTTACGAGTTACGACTCTGAAGTCACTTTTTAATTTGACATTTTTAAATTCAAGTGGCAATCGTAAATTCAATTTTAGCACTATTTTTTTGTTTTACATTAGGTATATCGATAATAAAAAAAATTAAGGGCGTGTAATGCTGTAAATATAAATGTTATCTAAGAGTTATTTTTACAATATTGAAATGCGAACGAATTTAAATAAATAAATACGTGAGAAAAAATTATTACACGTGTAAAAACTTTCCCTCGTGTATTTACATGTCCAAATCGACACTTTCACTCAGATAAGATATTATATGGGTGATTCTCCGCGTAGTGCACAATTCAATGTCCCTCGTATTTTTTAAGAAATTAGTTGCACATATTGCAATGAATTCAAGAAGAAAAACTAATTTCTGTGTTTACAAACAAAAGCAAGTAGTCGTTTGCATTTAAATATTTATAATTTAGCTTTAAGAGCTGTTTTAAGGTGCTAAAACGTCATGGTAAGGCCTGTCCCCAGTACAATGTATATAAACAAATTGTTATTTTTAATAAAATACAGTAATTAATCTAAAAACTATTCATATTTTCGTATTGTTTATGTTCGTAGGATTGTAAAAAACAAAGAACTTGCGAAAAAAAGTTATTTAAAAAAAATTTTTTTGATGTTAATTCTTGTCCCTCGTTTTCGCGTCATGGTCTGGCCTTTTTATAAAATTGTATTATTTACATAAAAATCAAATCGAAACTTTACTCAATATTAGTAAAACGCAACAACAAACTCTCCTAAGTAAATTAATAAGAGAGAAACTAATTTGAGAATTAATTGTTTTGTTTTTTACACATTAAAAGCACTAAACTTGCATAGGGAATCACAGAATCGTCATGGTCTGGCCTTCACATACTTCCCAATAAAATTAATAATTATTTATATTTTACGTCAATTAAAGTGTAGTAGTATTAGATCAGTGAATATAAATGTCGTAAATATGAAACAGAATGAAAATCGCTAATAAATTATTGTTTAAAAAATCAGTTTTTCTTGAGCGTCATGGTCTGGCCTTCTTATCATGGTACGGCTTTTCTGTATTGAACAGCGTGTAACAACAGAGTGAAGCAATAATTGTTAAGGTAGTACGCTCGTGATCGCACTTTTCTATAGAATTTCATGAAATTTGAAATCAGAATAGTTAATAACAAGATCTATGTATTTGCAAAATATTAAAAAAATTGACCGTTTCTAAAACAAGATATTTAAGTTCAAAGTTTGTTATTTAACATGGTTAACCTATGAAAAGTGCATGTAAACGGCACATTTCTTCTAATAACTTTTAAAATTTTCTATAGATTGTTTTAAAAAACTAATATATTATAAATGAATGTTTGAGAAATTTATAACAAAAAGATTTAACAATATTAACCGTTTCAGTTAAAAGATATAATATAATATAATATAATATTCTAGTCTGTACATAGGGCTGACTATGTATTCAGTACAGTCCAAGCAAAAATATGCTACAGTAACTGCACCATACTATAGCATTTTATTAAAATTTACTTTTGAAAGTGACTGCCGCGAGCGTACTACCTTAAACAATTGTAATTTGCAAAATAACATACAGATAATTATTATTTCATTTGCCTGTAAATATAACAGGTGCTTTCATTTTACCATGACTGGATAATATAGCCGCAAAGTATAAAAAGATATATAAAAATTATTTGTTTAAAAAATAGAAAAATTATAAATATTTTGTCCGGCCCACCACTGATATTTCATTTATAAACACTAAATTTGAAGATTCTATATCGACTTTTACTCAATTTGAAAAAAAAATCAGTAATAGAAATAACTAAATCGTGCGCTACGTGGAGAATCACCCATATATTCAAAGTTTCAAATGTTTCCAGTAACTCATCATTGCTTAAAAAAGATAAAAATAGTGTACCGCTTATGATACTACATAAATAAACTATTATTTTAATAATAAAATAATATTGTAAATTGTTTACTATCTGGACACTCTGACATAATTAAACTTACTCCATCATTGATGGCTCTTTGCTTCTTAAAATATGATCAGTTAAAATCCAAGGCATCGACATTTCAATAGGAAACTGAAAGAAAAATAAAGTCAAACAAATCATTTTAAATGTACAAATAAAGAATCTTAAGAAATATTTATTTTATAATAAAGTGTAATAAATGTGTAAAGACGTTCACATGAAAAATAACTGCTTAGAAATTATTAAATTTTCTGGTTATAAGACTGGAATAGAAAAGAATTACAATTTTTTCATATTCTATACACTAAGAGACTCTTTTGCTTGTAGCAGACTTTTGATAGGCCCGGAAATTCTCTCTAAATTTCTATACCCTCAAGTTGGACAGAATATACACTACCGGCGGTCATTGTGCAACTGCTACTTTTTTATGGTTGTTCAATATCTTTTAACTTGGAAAATATAATAACTAAAAATTTTTCCTTTTTATTTTCAATGGACGTATAAAATTCTGAAAAAAATGACACCTTAACAACAAAAAAATATTAATTTTTTAATAAGATATTTAAGAAAAACCCCGTTTTTAGTGATTTGACTAATTTTGTTTATATCTTCCGAAGAAATTAACGTTTTTTAATCTTCATAGGCATCTTAATAGTAATTGTAATTTTTCTAATTTTTTTGAAGCAACTTTAATCACTTGCATTTTCTAAAGAAATGTATGTAGATAAAATTTTGTAAGAAATCTCAATTCTACAAAAAAATACGATTGAAATGAGCCTATGAACGTTGAAAAACGTTCATTTCTTCGGAAGATATAAAAAAATTAGCCAAATCACTGAAAATGGGGTTGTTCTTAAATATTTTATTGAAAAATTAATATTTTGTTGTTGTTAAGGTGTAATTTTTTTCAGAATTTCATGCGTTTATTAGAAATTAAAAGAAAAAATGTTTAGTTATTATATTTTTCAAGTTAAAAGATATTCAATAGTCATAAAAAGTAGGGGTCGCACAATTACCGCCCTTAGTGAACGAAAAATTAATTCCTTTCAATTCCAAAATACTACTTGTATTCCATCATAGAAATATATTTTATTCATATCACGTTGCTTTTTCTAAAAGGCATTGTTTGGGATTAAATAATTATAAATGTATCCACCTTAACGGAGTTCAAAATCGATACTTTAATGCAAAAAAAACACTCTCACGTTGCTCCTCTAAAACAACAGAACTAAGTTATTTCTGCTAACCTTGTCATATTTTATTTTTTATTTAAAATCGAATAATATTTGCATTGAAATCAAAACAGAACTTACAATCAGCGGGGAGCCGTATTATTCCATAAAGAAAATTTTCTTACAATTTTTGAAAGAGAGAATTTTATATGTAGGAAGTTTTTTTAACTGAAATTTTTTTTTAGAATTTTTATTTAAACAAATTTTCATTTAAACATTTTTCCATAATCAAACTTTTATTTGATAGAATTTACATTAAGTTCAATGTTAATTTATAGAAATTTTCATTTGCTAGAATTTTTAATGAACAGAATGTCATATAGACTAATTTTTAATAGACATACACTACCGTCCACGAGTATCAGGACGATTACACGCGACTCTATGAAAAAAACATGCACTCACTTTTTCAATCATATCTCGTAAATAAAAGGAGATACAAAAAAATCTTAAATACGGTTAGAAAGCTGATTAAATTCTGCGTAAAATAAGCCGTCTTTGAAGTCATTTCATTAACTATTTTTTGAGTTGTAGAGTAAGAAAAAAAAATAATCAAATTTTCTCATTTTTGTCTCTTGACTTCAACTTTTTTAAAAATCTAAAAAAATTTAGATAAAAGTTCTTTAAAAACACAGAAATTGGAGCTTTAAAATAAGACTTCGAAAATTAAAAAAAATAATTCGTCTTCGATATATCATTAAAAATGTGAAGCCGTATTTCGGCCGATAGATGCATTGAAATTAAACTCTGACAACTCGATTCTGTCTTCGCGCGGTTGCAAATGAGAGAGAAAGCAGGGACGACTTCATGCGGGAGAACGATGAACTTTCGAGTTTCTTTATACATATTACTCGTGAAACATCATTATTTATTATTCCCCAGAATAAATTCTTCCCTGTTTTTTCTCCCATTCTTAGCCACGCGAAGCTGGAATCGAGTCATCACAGTTAAATTCCAATCGTCGAAAATCGGCTTCATATTTTTAATGATATGTGACTGTCCACGAGAAAACAAGGCTTAGGTCCAAAAAATCAATTTTGATTTTTTTATGGTAATCGACAGATTTTATGTTGCTTTTTCAAATGCAAAAGTCAAAAGTTAAAATAGTATATTAAGCAACAAGAGGAGAAAGGCAGCCATTTCTTTACGGTGATTTTTGTGACACGAGTGGAGGTCGAGGGCGCCGTAGGCGCCCCGAGACCGGAACGAGTGTCACAAAAATCATCGTAAAGAAATTGGCTGCCTTTATTCTCGTGTTACTTACGATATTTTTTATTCCTAATGCACAAAAGCGGCGATTTCAGTTAGCAGACGACAGGGAGTAAAAGTCATTCACTTGTTCGATTTGTATGAAAATGGCGGCCGTCTTCTCCCTTGGGCAAGAAAAATGCATGTGAACAGCTAATTTTCTTGCCCTTGGGAGAACACGGCCGCCATTTTCATACGATCGAAGAAATGAATGACTTTCCTCCCTGTCGACTGCTATCAGAAAGCGCCGTTTTTGTGCATGTGGGATAAAAATATCAATTACTATCGACAATATATCGTTTTAAAGATGGGTATGTTAAGCGTAGTTAACCTCAATCGTTGACTGTCCACGATAAAACACGGCTTAGGTCGAAAAAATCAATTTGAGTTTTTTATGGTAATCGACAGATTTTATGTTGCTTTTTCAAATGCAAAAGTCAGAAGTTAAAAATATCAATTACTTTCGACAATATATCGTTTTAAAGATGGGTATGTCAAGCGTAGTTAACTTCAATCGTAGTACTTCAATCGCTCGCCCTGTGAAATTCACGTTTGGGAGCTAAGCCTTGTTTTCTCGTGGACAGTCACATATATCGAAGACGGATTAATCTTTTTTAATTTTCGAAGGCTTATTTTAAAGCTGAAATTCTAACGAAGATTTCTGTGTTTTTAGAAAAATTTTATCTAAAGTTTTCTAGATTTTTGAAAAAGTTTAAGTCAAGAGACAAAAATGAGAAAAATTTTTTTATTTCTTTCTCACTCTACAACTCAAAAAATAGTTAACGAAATGACTTCAAAGATGCCTTTTTACGCAAAATTTAATCAGCTTTCTTACCGTATTTAAGATTTTTTTGTATCTCCTTTTATTTACGAGATATGATTGAAAAAATGATTGAAAAAGTGATGGCATGTTTTTCATAGAGTCGCTTGTAATCGTCCTGATACTCGTACTGCCGTGTGATATAAAAACTTAGTTAACTGACATTTTGGTGAAAAATGAGTTTTTTGTATCAATGAACTCGTAAGAAAAACTGCGTCTAATAGTTATAGTTTAAATTTTTTTTTCAAATTATTGTTTGTAAAAAATTAATATTAAAAATCTAAGAAATTGCAGAAAGTGAAAGAATATTTGATAAAAAGTTAAGGAAAGTACTTTGCGTAGTCCAAAAAACAAACGAGGCTACGAGCTCGAATGTAAGATTTGAAGGAAAAACTTAGTTAAAGGCATTTGTGTGTTTTTTGTATCAAATAAGTAGTCGAGTCCGAGCGTTGGATTTGAAATAAAAACTTTGCATCTGCAACGCTTGCAATTACCTAAGTTCTTCCATCAAAAAGTCAGTCGAGACAGAGCCGAACGACTACTTAACTGCATTCGGCTAAACTCGGTTTATCCTCGGGTCGCAAGCAGCAGCAGACGTCCCCCTATCACATGACGTCACTGCCAGTTAGGTAAGTTTTTCCATCAAATCGGAGGACCGAGCTCGCGTACCTTTTTGTTGAGCAACTACGCAAAGGACTTTACCTAACTTTTTACTTCATATTTGCATTCGGAAAAACACGCAAGTGCATTTTTTCATATAATTTGTTTAAATAATTAATTTTTTATTTCATAATTAAATAGAGCACCATCATTATACCCAGTATGTGAAGTTGAATTGAACAATTTTTTAATTTTTATTAGGGTTCTGAAAGCAAACAGTTTTTCCTTATTTTCTCGTTTCGATATAAATGTCAGTTAACTAAGTTTTTATTTCAAACGCCAGCGTAGACGGTAGTGTAGGTTGCACTTAAAAATTTCTACAACCGTTTTCCCAAAGGACCACGTATAATTATTTTTTTATTAACATTCACTAAATTGTCCGGACTAACTTTTGACTGTTTCGGACTAATTCCGGATTCACTAGTCAAAATTAACTGATTAATTTCCGACTTCATCGGACCAACTCCGGTTTCACTAGTTGATCACAAACCGTATAGAGTTCGGATTTTTCCGGATTAATTTCGGGTGACAAAAACCTGACCATAAACCACATTGTTTCGGACAAATTTCGGATTAGTCCGAAATCTGTCCGGTTTTTTAACCAGGGGTTATACTGGCGCCAAAAACTTCAGACCAATTAGTTCAACTTCTTTCATATTAAAAACTTTAGAGAAACTTCTGAATAATTTTATTAGACAGAAATGTCTAATGAATTAACTAGAGCTGTGAAAAATTCAAATCGAATTGAGTTTTGCTCGATTTTGAAGGTATGTTTTCGTTGCCAGCACTTCTTACACTTTAACACCTAACCTGCATTATGCTGTTCTCTTTGCCGGATGTGACGCAATTTTACCATACATTTCGCTACACTTTCTGCACCTACTCTTGAGGTGGTGTAAAAGTTACACTTAGTGTAGGCAACGAAAACATACCTATTGTAAGAATATTTCCCACTTAATTTAAGTGGGGAATATTCTTGGCGCAAATTTAAGAAGATTTTCTTAAAATTAGAATGTAATTTTTTCAGTGTTGTTTCATTTCTAGGTGACATTTTTCTTATTATACAATAACAAAAAGGTACATATTTTTCAAAAGTGTTTTTAAGTGATAAAAGAAATGAATAGAAACAATGAATTTGCAATTTATATTTTTCAAAAAATTTAGAGCAAGAAAAGTTATTTTGATAGATTTTAAAGAAAATACTGAATATTTGTGAATAATTTTAATCTAGAATTAAAGAGTGGTATTTGTACTTTATATTGTAAAATTTTCAAATCTCAAAAAATTTTTCTTTAATTGGCATTCTGAAAATATCGACTGTTTATAGATAAAATCGAATAACTCGAATAAATCTTAATCAATTTTCTTCAAATTTTTTTTGTTGGATTTGGATAAAAAATGATAAAAGGAAGAATTCTGTTAATTTTATTCAATGTTTTTGATACTTTCATAGAATTTAAGCAAAAAAAAACTGAAAAATAGCGACTTTTTGACATTTAGACAAGCGTAGAACCTAAATTCCTAAACGGATTTGTAAAATATTCTGGAATATTATTAATTGTGTTAAAAATTCGATATATTTTTAAAAATTTCAATACATTTTGTATTTTTGAATATCTTAAATATAAATTCTCATTTAAAACTTTATTATATTTTTAATTATTACATCAAAGGCCACAATATTTTTACAATTTACGTTACTTTACGTGTAAGACACTGTTAAGCATAGTTACACTGTTTAGTAATTTATAGAAATTTGCATGTCTTTTTAATTACAAAAGAAATTTCTAAACAATTTCCCTTTCAATATTACTTCATGCATTTATTAAAAAGTTGATATGACGCTAAAAGTTTTAGAATCCCAACAAAAACATCCTTGATGCAAAAAATTCCGCCAAGTAAAAGTTTTTGTAATTGTTTAAACAATTAGTGAAATAAAAGTTTACCAAGTAAAATTTATAACTAAAGTTTTAATATTGATTGATTTTATTAATAATTAAACTTCAGAATTGAGTAAATGTTTCACGTTATATTTTGAATTGTAACAAATATGAAATTTAATTTCATGATTAACATAAGCAAAAATGAAATCTAGTTATCCGTCTTAATAAAAAATATCTATTTAAGATAATTTTAGAATCTTGGCGTCAAAAATTGCCTTAAATAGATATTTTTTATTAAGGGAGCGTTCACAAATTACGTAACGCTAATTTTTAAAAATTTTTACCCCCCCTCCCCCCATGTAACACACTGTTACATACATTAGCGCCATTTTTTCTGCTGTACATAACAAATAGCTAGACCCCCCCCTCCCCTTTATAATGTTACGTAATTTGTGAACGCTCCCTAAGGGGGGTCATCTAAGTAACTCACGAAAAATAGGCATATTTTCAGAAATTTTTTTTTCTCAATGAAATGGTCAATCAAAAATCTGTAAAGTACGTTTTATTGCATGAGTATTAATGTGCAAAATAAATATAGTTTTTAAATTTTATTAAAAAATGGTGGCTGTGCAGCATTTCATTGGAAAGCGTCTCATTTAAGGATTCCATGTCCCGAACAACTAACGTCCTTAATTTTTGATCTGGAAAGAAAACGAAAATGTTGTCATTTTCTATACATCAACAGCTATCGACATATGTAAGATTTTTTTTATGTTACTTACTTTTATTTTTATCAACAATTTTGTCACTTTTTTTCTGAAAATTGTCACTTTTTTGTTCAATCACGCACCATTTTGCAAAAAATCAAAATATCGACAAAATCCTACGTGTGTCGATAGCTGTTGATGTATAGAAAAAGACAACATTTTGGTGCTTTTTTCAAATCAAAAATTGAGGACGTTAGTTACTTAGATGTCCCCCCTTAAGACGGATAATTAGATTCCATTTTTTGCTTATGTTAATCATGAAATTAAATTTCATATTTGTTCAAATTCAAAATATAACGTGAAACATTCTCTCAATTCGAAAGTGTAATTTGTAATATTAATAAAATCATTCAATATTAAAACTTTAGTTATAAATATTACTTGGTAAACTTTTATTTCACTAATTTTTTGGACAATTACAAAAACTTTTACTTGGCGGAACTTTTTGCATAATTTACGTTATTAAATTGGTTATATCTTGCCTTTTGGCTCTAAAGTTATTGAACTTTAAAATGATCCTAGTTTGATAACTTTTACATCTATTTTTACAGAAACATTTTAATTTGAAGTGAAGCGTTTAAAAGTGATCAGTCCAAACTGTGTGGCAACCCGACTGTACTGATTCTATAACGTTGGTTTAAACATATGGCCAGAAACTGTTAAAAAGTGGTTTAATTTGATTTAAAATTAAGACCTGTAGTGCGATTTGAACAAGATGGCGACTTTTTGCAAGTAGTTCTTAAGTGTAGAAATGAGAAACGTACATTTGCATTTCTTACACTCTTGGTCTACACTGAAAAACTGTTGATAGAATAGTTACGCTATTGATTCTGTCAGCGCTACTCGACGTTTGAACTCATAGCTCTATCAAAAGAAGGAGAGGTGCTCTCCTACTTGACTACCAATGGCGTTGAGTTAGCGGCTGCTTGGCAGATAATTCTGCAGCTCAATCAAAAGGGAGAACTACTCTCCCAAAAATAAAGTAAGCTGTGTATTTCCTTTTAACACAGCACTTCGGCGCATTGAACGAACAGTTCTGCCAACAGTTTTTCAGTGTAGTTACTTATAAAATATGTTAAATGAAGGATAAATCTCTTTAATTGAGACTTAATTGTTTAAATGTGTAAAGAAGATCAATTAGAGAAAAGAGATGTGACGCTCCACAGTAAAAGGGACCTATCTTCCAAATAACATTAGGCTCAGCCTTCATGCACAGTACACTGAGCCTTTCACAGCGGAGCGTCACATATAAATAATAATCAGATGATGTTAGTCATTAAAGTACCTGAATGCGTTTTTCCATGGTGATCAAGTCGCTGCATTCTTCATTGTGCTGGTGCCGCACTTGGCATTTCTATTCACAAAAGCAGTCATAGAAAAGTTGAGTACAATTACTAAATCTAATAAATTCATACAGAAAGAATAGAAGAAGAAAAGATTCGAAGGCATTCAAGTAACGCAATAAATTAATTATTGGTTTTTTAAAAACATACTATTAAAAACACAATATTACTTATAAATACTGAATTAAAGTCTTTTTTAATTTTAAATACTCTTGCGCATTCCCAATTTTGCATTATAATAAAAGAACAGCACCACAAAAAAATTTTTTTTTGTCCGACAACCTAGACTAGTCATTTTCTACGTATTTTGGGTCGCTAAAACCGAATCCAGTGTCAGAATTGCCAAGTTGGTTCGTTTTTTCTTTCTAACCTCAAAAAACTTACTTTTTTGGTACATTTTGTGAGAAAATGAAACAACGTGAGCTAGTTTTGAAATTATAACCTTGTATTACAATTTAGAAGTTAAATTTACATACCAATTAAATAGATTCTTTAAATTCAAAATGGCGGACTCAAAATGGCGGATATTTTAAAAATTGATCCGATTCGCTTGAAATTCAGTACTTGACGGTTTTTGGGTCGTTGATTACGAATCTAGTGTAAGTTTTTAAAAACTAAAAATGGCGGACCAAAAACTTAAATTTCATCAGATTCACCTGCAATCTGATACTCGGGGGTTTTTGGGGTCGCTGATTGTAAATATAAAGTCAGATTTTCGAAATTTATAACAGAAGACCTACTATGGTAGATGGAACTTTTTAAAATTGATAGGATAAGCTCAAAATTTGACACGCAAGAGTTTTTCTAGTCATGGATTACGAATCATACATTGGATCATAGCATAATCACATTACAAATTCCCCTTGTCTCATAGGTATTGAAAAAATGACTAATCTTATATATTTAACATTTAAAATGTTTCCGAAGTTTCCTTGTAACATTAGATTCTGTAGTAGCCAAGTTGTCCACTACTACAGAACTACGGTTGCATGATGACGATGGCTGCGGACCCGCTTTCCCATCCTGACCAGTCGCCGATACTGGGCTACCGAGACCCTGCATCGTAATAAAGTTTGTTAGTAAGGGAGACTGGGGCTAAACCGGACAAGTCAAATATTTCCGAAACGATGAAGAATTTCAAATAATGTAAATAACCTGTGAACGCACTCTTAAGCAAAAAATATTTTTTTCAATAAGTTTTCTGGTCAAAGACCAAATCCGTCCGGTTTAGCCACGGTCTCCCCTACCTTCTACCATGACGGCATCAGGTATTTAACCCAGGATTTTAGCCAGAACTGTTTTCCTGATGAAGAAAACAAATCCGTTGCCCACCGTCACCACGTGGAGGTACCCTGGTTACAGAAGGAATGTCAAAGATATATTTTAAATGTCAAATACATAAGATGAGTCATTTTTTCAATACCTATGAGAAAAGGTGAATTTGTAATGTGATTATGCTATGATCCAATGTATGATATCATACATTGGATCATAGCATAATCACATTGAAAATTCCGACGTCGTAAACTACGTTGTACATGACGCCGTAAACGACATCGTATCGACGTCATATATCACGTAGTATACGACGTCGGAAACGAAAGCGGAAATTGGGATAGTGAATGACGTAGTATACGATTTCGTAAACTACGTAGTAAACGGCGTAGCAAACGACGTCGTTTACGGTGTGGCGAAAATGATTATTTTAATATTATTTAATAAATACGTGAAAAAAGCAGTTATTATATAGAATAAAAATTATTTTAATTAAAATAAAATCATACATCATTTCAAAAAGGTCGAATTCCTAATTGACAATAAATAAGACGTTGTTTTCATATTCAAATTATTTTTTATTAATATAATATAAAATATCTTTTATAACATTATGTAACTCATGAAAATCCTTTAGAAGAACAAGTATAACAAGTTAATAAATATACACTGAAAAAAAAATTTATTTAATTCAAATAATTCAAATTATTTGAAAAATATTTATTTGATTCAAATACTTTTTAGTTGGATCAAAAAAATATTTATTTGATTAAAATAACTTGAATTATTTGAATCACACTTATTTGAACCAAATAAATCGTATTTGATTCAATTAAATAATTAATTAAATTGAATAAATGAATTTGTGTAATACAAATAATGAGTTACTTGAAACTATTCTGCCGTCCTTTTTAAAAAAGACACTATCTACATTTTAGCTCAATCGGAGATATTGAAGGAAACGCGTTTGCATCTAGATATCTTAATAAAATTAAAAATTTTGTAAACAAACTTATGTTCTTCACTAATTCGGACACGCTCTTTTTATTGGTGCAAAAAAAATTATTAATTTTAATTTATTAATAAAACTGTAGATAGTGCACATTTTTTATTCGAAAATTATGGAGAATACATGAAAAGTGCACTATGTGGTAGATAGTACCTACGTTTAAAATTGCTTTGTCCGTCCACTTTCCTGTTTAAAGCGTCACTATCTACATTATTTTCTAACACAATCCTTTATTTCTGTTATATTTTCATTATTATTTTATATTTTATTTTATTTATTATTATATTATATTTTTTAATTTTGAAAATACCGAACGAAAAATCACGAACAATAGAGGGGCTGATAGTAAAAATGGTTTATAATAAATAATAATGGGAGCAAAAGTAGAATAAGTGACTTGAGAGAAAAAACGGGTTAAAATGATTATGTAATTTCTTGATAAATTAATTATATTAATGCTTAAAAAATATTGTCAATAATAAAAAAACTTATTTTATTTGAATTCATATTTTGTAATTATTATAATTAATTTATCAAGAAATTACACAATCATTTTAATCTGTTTTTGCTTCTAAGTCACTTATTCCACTTTTGCTCCCGTTATTATTTTAAACCATTTTTACTATCAGCCTTTCAATACATAAATTTTATTTAACTTTACAACTTTATTTTATTTGATTATTATGTTCTGCATTAAAGTTTTATTAAATTAAATGTTAACTTTACAAAAAAAATAATTAAAATTGTTTTTTAATTTGCATTAAATATATGTGTTAATACAAAATAAAAGCTTTATTTGCAAATTATTTTATTATTTTTATTTTATTTGCATAATTAAACTTGTAGATAGTGCTCTCTCTCGCGGAAAGTTAACCAAAGTTCGAGAAAAATATGTACGAAAAACGTCAATATGTACATAGTTCTCTACTTTTGTGACTTTTGAAATCAGTTTATTGATTAACCTATGTACATGCTCGTGAATCAGGATTTCAGGGGTCAAATGGGTTGAAAATCCTGAAAATTTTGTAGTTAGGTCGTCTCCTTCTACAGATAGTGATACTTTAAAAAATATTTCTCGAAAATCTCTGTAGATAGTTTAATTAACAGCTAATTATCTTCTAATATAATTATAATTTTCAATTACGAACACGACTATTAGATTCGTCTTTTCATTACGAATCCAACGGTATAAAGAACTCATTTTTCGTAAAATATGTAGATAGTGCCTTTTTTAAACTGGACGGCAGTATTCTTTTATTTATTTCACTCAAATACTTCGTATATTTGATGCAAATAAAAATTATTTGACACAATAAATTTATTTTATTGATTATTATAAACTTAATTATTCAATCCGAATAATTCGTTATTCAAAGCTAATACACTATTTTATCAAGACAAATAAAAAAATATTTCAATCAATTAAATAATTATTTGAAACGAAAATAATGAATTACTTGAAACTGTTCATTTATTTATTTCACTTAAATATTTCATTTATTAAATATAAATAAAAAATATTTAACCCAATAGGTAAATTTATTTTATCGATTCTAATTAACTAAATTATTAAATATACGAATAATGAATTAGTTAATACTAATACCCTATTTTATGAAGACAAATAAAAAATATTTCGACAAATAAAAATGTGTTATTTGGATACAGAATATACGGCACTGGCATTGATATAGTAGATTAGGCGTGATGCCTTCCAGCCTTCTGTAGCCAAGCGGTTTAAATACGTGCGCTTAAGACTTTCGGTATGCGTTAGGGGTGGGGGGACGGTGAGTTCGATCCCACATGCGAGCGAATATTTTTCATTTTAAGCCTTTTAAGCGTTATATAAAATAATAAAATTGTGTGTTGTGTTGTGAATAAAAACTGTGTGAACATGTTTGTAAATAATGTTAAAAGTCTGTTAAACAATCAGTTAATATATATAATATAATATATAAATATAATATAATAATATATTAATAAATTAAAAAAAAATACTAAATATTTAAAAAAAAAATTTTTGTATTAAATATAGAATGAAATAATTTTTATAATTGATTCAAATAATTATTTACTAGCTTGAAATATTACATTTATTTGATTTGAATAATTTGTATTTGATACAAATAACTATTTATTTGATACGATAAAACAAAATACTTAGGTCTAGTAAATATTTATTTGAGTTGAATAATTTTTATAATTGATTGAAATAATTATTTATTAGTTTAAAATACTCCATTTATTTGATTTGAATAATTTGTATTTGATTCAAATAAATAGTTATTCAGTAAATCAATTAGAATTCACTGTTATTGAACAATTAACTACAACAAACGCTTATGATGAAGCATGTAGCATGTTGAAAAAGATTGTTGAAATCTCTAGGGAACAATCAGTAGTACAAACCATGGACATTTCCAAAGTTTGTTTTCATATGGGTGAAATGGTACTTAGTATATTTGCGCTGTGCCAAATCTATACCATTATTAATTACTAAAAGTCTGTTAGTGCATTTTTCTGAGAAATGTTCCAAATTTTTAAAATGGAAATTGATTTTAGTTCAAAAATTATTACTTACAAGAATTTTATTACTTTACCTGACTTTTTCTAAAATTTTTAAAAACTTTTGAATTTGTAATAAGTTAAAAACGACCGTTGGTACGTAATGCTGTAAGCAATGCTCAAAACTTTGTAAGTTAAATTATTATCCTTTTATAAATATGAGTGATTTTATTTATTATCTTAATTTAAATTCATCTCACTTCAGATATTTTTACTTATTACTAGATCTTTGTTATTTACATGACATAGGTTATATTTTACAATAACTTTTAAATTTGTATTAAGTTAAAAACGACATTAGTGCGCACTTATCTGAAAAGTGCTTTAAATGTTTAAGTGAAATAATTGTTACACTCCATATTTTAAGTAATTGTATTTATTATCTCACTTATGTTAGATTTTTTAAAATTGTTATGAGTTACATAATGTTAAAAAAGATATTTTATATTATATTAATAAAAAATAATTTGAATATGAAAACAACGTCTTATTTATTGTCAATTAGGAATTCGACCTTTTTGAAATGATGTATGATTTTATTTTAATTAAAATAATTTTTATTCTATATAATAACTGCTTTTTTCACGTATTTATTAAATAATATTAAAATAATCATTTTCGCCACACCGTAAACGACGTCGTTTGCTACGCCGTTTACTACGTAGTTTACGAAATCGTATACTACGTCATTCACTATCCCAATTTCCGCTTTCGTTTCCGACGTCGTATACTACGTGATATATGACGTCGATACGATGTCGTTTACGGCGTCATGTACAACGTAGTTTACGACGTCGGAATTTTCAAATAACGAATATTCGTAATCCTTGACCAGAAAAACTCTTGCGTGTCAAATTTTGAGCTAATCCTATCAATTTTAAAAAGTTCCATCTACCATAGTAAGGTCTTCTGTTATAAATTTCAAAAATCTGACTTTATATTTACAATCAGCGACCCCAAAAACCCCCGAGTACCAGATTGCAGGTGAATCTGATGAAATTTAAGTTTTTGGTCCGCCATATTGGATCCGCCATTTTTAATTTTTAAAAACTTACACCAGATTTGTAATCCGCGACCCAAAAAAACCTGAAGTACTAAATTTCAAGCGAATCGGATCAATTTTTTAAATATCCGCCATATCGGGCCGTCATTTTGAATTTAAAGAATCTATTTAATTGGTATGTAAATTTAACTTCTAAATTGTAATACACGGTTATAATTTCAAAACTAGCTCACGTTGTTTCAATTTCTCAAAAAATATACCAAAAAAGTAAGTTTTTTGAGGTTAGAAAGAAAAAAACGAACCAACTTGGCAATTCTGACACCGGATTCGGTTTTCGCGACCTAAAATACGTAAGAAATGACTAGTCTAGGTCGTCGGAAAAAAAAATTTTTTTTTGTGGGTCTGTTATTATTCGAATCTAAAAATATTAAAATTTGAATAAATATAAAATCTAATATGATTCTACCATAAACTTTTATATATAAAACGAGTATTTTATGATTTAATAAAAAAAATACTTTTGAATTTTGAAAATTATTTTTCTGTTAATAAGAATGTTCGAAATTTTTTTGGTCCAAGTTTGACGGCCTGCATTTTCTAAGAAAAAAATTACACGTTAAAGCCTATAAGTAATTCTTATAGTGTAACAAATAACCTTTAAAATAAGCCTAAGATCATTAAAAAGCGTTCATTATTTTAGAAGTTATTCAAATTTTTGTAAAACATTGAAAATGACGATTTTTAACCCTCCGTCACACACCTTTGAAAAAATTACACCATTACACACGTTTAGAGGGAATCCCTCACCACATTGTAAAATAAGCGACATTACAATATAAACGAAGGAATCAACAAAAATTTAATTTTAACACAAACTTACAAATATGTAGTAAATTATTCTAAATTATAAAATTAATAAAATTAATTTTCGGTCTCAAAAATAAAAATTAATTACACGAATGCACATCTTCGAAGAAATTTCTACTTTACATGTAAAAATAATGTAACATTAACAAGTAAGCAAAAAAATCATTAAATAATTTATTTTAATTATAATATATAATTTTGTCATTAACCAACAGTGGAACAAAAAATGTTTTAAAAACTTGATTTTTTTATTTAACATAACCTCACTTTTCGAGTTTTTTCTGGCTTTTAAGCTTCATAATGAAATATTAATTATGTTTAAACTAAATGTTTTTTTAGAAATGTGTTGAGGAGTAAACCGTCGAAAGGTATAGAAACTGATTTTATTTTGCAATGAGGAAAACAAAAGTTATTTAAAAAATACTGAAACTGTATACTGAGAGACCCAAGAAGGCTAGAGACAGGAGGTGAAACTTCGGTAGTGGGGATGAGTCAAGAGCCTTTCTTTAACCAGGCGTTTTTCGTTTCGAAAAGTCGCCAGCGCGGTGCTTCTGTACATCACTCACACATTTAAATTCTTGTATACCGTATGTTTTACATGCGTGTATGATATGATTTTAATTTGAGGTTAACTTTAAAGTGCAATCGAGACACAATTGACAATGTGTGTCATAACGGATATATAGAAATAATGTGAGTGATTATTAAATTAAGTGTTATTCAAATAGTTAAAAATTCCGAAAACGTGCTGTGTGAAAAGTTGTAACAAGAAAAAAGATAAACACAACATTATGACTATTACTTTTTGTTAACTTTTAATACACTTCGTGCTAAAGTTTACACATTTTTTTGTTTTTAAAACTTTTTTTTAATAACTAAAAGATGTTTGAAAATATAAACACTTATATTTCATATTGTATTTGTATAGAATATATTTTCCCGTGTTTACGTGTTTAGATGCGCAGAAGTCCAAGTGGTCTATTGCGGCGAAAACTTTTTTTGAAAGTAAACGCCTAAACATAAACCAGCTGAGCGACTCAGCATTGCCATACCCCCACTACCGAAGTTTTACCTCCTGTATCTAGTCTTCTTGGAGAGACCTTTGGGACTGTAGCGGAACAACGTATATGACAGCAGCTCCACTATGGTTTTGGTGCGCTGCGGTAAAATCTTGGGCGCGTGACAGTCCCAAATGTTGGTGAGCAGCTCACCGAAGTAGTGGGAATGCCGCCTTTGGTTTGCAGCTGAACAACTTTGGGACTGTCACGCGCCCAAGATTTTACCGCAGCAACCCAAAAGTATAGTCCTGTAGCGTTCCTCCAAAATGGTCAGTAGCAGCCTATCGAAAGTCTGCTGCTGACCCAAAGGTCTCTCAGTGTAGAGGGATTCCCTCCCTAGGTGTGTGACGGAGGGTTAAAAAATATTTAAATGAATTATTGGCCAAACGACTTCTCAAATATCTCATTCTTTCGAAAATTTTATCATCTATCAAAAAATGAGCAGAAAAAATTTTAGTTTCAATAAATCTTGTTTAAAACGTTTTTCATTCGCCTGAAAATGGGTGGTCTCTCAATTTTGACCGGTATTGTACTTGTAGTTATTCTATGAGGTACTTTATGAAAGTAAGAGACATAAATTTCACAGGGAAAAATTTTTCTATTTTGAATAATAGAATAATAATAGCTATCAATTAACATACATTAATCGATAAATTCATAATAGACATGTTTATTTTACTAATTTTTTTAGCAATCAATAATCAATTTACAATGAGAAAAATTTATAATAATTTGAGGATAGATTACTTGTAACTTGATCATATTTTTCAAGAATTAGGGAAAAGATCTTTTAACTAAATTTTAATGCAAATCCACATCTCTGCTTCTTCCAGGAAGTTAAAAAGATGAAAAAATTTTTTAATTAAAATCATATTTGGGATGAGAAATTAAAAGATTTTATATTTATCTCATCGCGCAGTCAGGAAATAAATAGCATTAAACAAAACGGTGTATGTAATAAGTCCGGGAACCAGCGAATTTTTTGTTTTTAAAATTTTACAGGAAACAACGGTTTTAAATTTTAAAACTTGTAATCGGATAAAATTTATGTCCCAAAATCGACATTTTTTAATAGGGTGCCTGAATAATTGAATAAATTTACTCACCTGAATTTTTCGCCCCATTGTCATTTCAAGATAAAATTCTCGATACCACAGTTGAGAAAGATCACAACAGTTCTGCAGAGATTCTATAAAAATAATTCAATTGTTAAATGTAATTGTAAATAAAATTTTGACACTTTTAATATTACTTTAGAATTCTGTTACTAACCACTAAAATTAAGCAAATAACTCCAGTAGAAACTAGTTTTATGAAATTGGTCAATTTGCATAAGATATTGGCCATCTATATCTTTTCTCAATGTTCGTTTTCCTCCACTTTTGTCAGCAATCAGAGATTCTAACATTGTTCGTACCATATAAAGCTGAGTTGAACTTGGTCCTAAAAAGATATAATGATAATTATTAGTAAATTTTTAATGTCCGATAGACAAATTTATTGAATGTATAACAAACGAGAAAAAGAAATATTTAAAAGATTTTGAAGAGAAAATAAAACTAACCGACATTCCTCCTTGGAACTTTAATTCCAAATCCATTATCAGGATCCTTTTTTCCCTTTAAAGCAGGATCACTAAGTGGCTCGACACCAAAATGCCAGTCCGCGCAAGTTTCTCTCACGGAAACAATAATACTAAAAAAATGGTATTTTACAAAAGTGAAAAATTATAGAGACAAATTTTTATTTAATTTAAAAATAAAACTAAAAACTTAATTTACAAGATAAATATAAAATTAAATAAAAAAAACCTAGGGTAATAATGGGTACTGTGTGACCTGCAAGCGGTCAATAAAGTACACTTTATTGCTCTAGGGCAATAATGAGCACTTTATTGACCGATGGGTTATAAGGGAGAACTTAGTATGCACCTGTACAGTTAGATAAAGTGACCATAATACGCCTGAGTTGCATAAAAGATATTAACTCGGTTTCGCACGAAAATTAACATAGTAAAAATAAAATGTTTTCAAACCTTCTAATAAGATCTTTTTTATTTTTAATTGCTTTTCTAAGTGGTTCTCTTAAAATGAGTTGAACAAAATCCTGGAGTTCAGCATAAATATTTCGTCGAATAGCATCGACAAAAACGGTTTCCATTCTCGCCATTAATACTTGAAGTCCTTTTATCATGGCAATCACTTCAATCAGAGCAAATTTCTCTTCCGCAGTATAATTATATCTCGTTGCCTGAAAGAAAACATGAAAAAATGCTTTCGAATTACAAAATGTATTAACAAATAATGCATTCATTATGTGTCGCGGAGATTGGAAAAATGAACCAAATCCGGGTGTTATGGCCGAACTCCGTAACTTTTAAATTGTAAACAATTAATTTATAATACTAAAAAAATCTAAAATTACATCATTCACACACAACATACGATTTTGTAAACACATTTTAAGCATTTACACAAAAACAACCTTTTTGTAATTTCACAAAATGGACATTCTTCTTTTTGAATATTTTAATCTAATGTACTTCAACTAGACAGAAATCTATTTCTTGAGGAATTCCCTTTTCTTTGACAAACAGTTTATTAACCCTTTTGAGAAATAGTTAGAAAATATCAAAATCAACTAAATTTATCAATATAAGGAGTGGTGCATCCAAGTCACTAAACTCGGATCACGCTACTGCCTAAATCTGCAAGTTGGCAGAATTAGCTAATTTTTATTTATAAAAATTAGATATATATGGGGCATTCCACCCCTAATCGGAAATTATTTTGCTCTTGCATCTCAAATTTTTTCAAATATTTTTTTTCTTTTAGTGCTTGTTGAAATGAGCTCTTATGATTTTTTTCAAATTTTTTTATAAAGCGATTTAACAGATACAAATTTTTGAAAAATTTCGTAATTTTTTTTTCAAACTCTCATAACTCGGACAAAAATTGACCAAATTGGACGTTATTATAATGAAAATTTTTGTTTTCAGACGTAGTATTTAATAAAAATATACAATTTTTTTTTAATTTTCGATACAATTTTTAAATTTTTTAAATAAAATTTTATTTTGAACAATGTTTGTATCAATCGATTTTTTTCAAAATTTTTTGTAAGAAACTAGCTATAAATTAACAACTTTTAAGCCCTGTCCGATCGTGGACTAACGATGGGATCTATTTATTTAAAATTTTTCAATTTTGATATGCGCAGTGAAAACGGGTACTGTTGGTAATATCTTGCCTTATACATTACCGACAATAGATATTGGTTGAAGTAATTATATAATTTTTTTATTTTTGAATACTACAAAATATTGAGTAACTAATAATAATATTTTTTAACAAAAAATCAATATTTTGCATTAGTCAAAAATGAAAAATCATATGAATGAGTTTATCCCATATCCACTGTCGGTAAGGTAGAAGGCCTTTACCATGATTTAAATAACATTAGATCTGTAAACAATTTCATATGTTGTTGTAGTGTCATAGTTTGGTGCCATGGAAAGTTTTGGTAATTACAATTATTGCTGCAATCCGTTAAATTTAGAAAAGCACAATGTGAAAAATGGATTGAGACCTGCTTCAACTAATCATCAAAATGTGCATAATTTAAGAAAGTCTGATTATCTATGCTCTTCGTGTAGAAAATCGTTAGACTTAAAAAATGCTCCTGATTCTCTTGTCGTTGATAATAACGAAGTTAATGAAACATCAAAAAATGTTGAGATTGACTGTACTAATTTGTTAATATCAAACACTCCATCTGGTAAAATTAATCACATTATATTGTTTTTTAACTGTAAGGTAAAGCCACCAAATTTGGAACAATTTCATAATTTTGTCACTATTATGAAACACAATTATAAAAATTAAAATAAGTGTAATTAAATTTGGTGATAAGAAAATTCTAGTTATTTAAATAAATTTTACTATTTTAATAAGAATTATAATTTCTGTATAGTGGAGTAGAAGGGGGTAATGTAGTGCACTTTTCTTTCGAAGACTCCTGTGGTCGCAATTTTCAACCAATTTTGATCAATAAGGACTCGTTGGAAAGACAATGCTTCATTTATGCTACATTTATGGTATACATTATTTTTTTGTAGATGTAGCTGGAGCTTTTCTATATCAAAAAAACTGAAGGCACTTTTTTTCGACATTCTAAAATTTGTGGGGCAATGTAGTGCACCACTTTATTAGTGAAATAAAAAGCAGAGAATATATTATAAACGATTTTATTTTATTAAATATAATATTAGAAACATAAGAAACTTAAAAAAACTATAAACTAGTAATGATGCCCACGAGAAGAGACTTCTCATGTAAAAACCGAGACGAGATCTAGACTTTGCATGATATCATCTCATCTCGTGGACAGCACTACAAACTAGAGATTTCTTTGGTCCTGTGTTAGATAAAACTGAAAGAAAACTGCAAAAATTTGCAAAAAGCAAACATGGTTAAATATTTACATAAATTTACATATTTACGGTACTCTGTATATTTGCACTACATTGTCCCCAACCCCATGCACTACAATGCCCCCAAGCACTTTTTTCACGTTTACTTCAATATCTCAATAAAAACAAAATTAAACGTCAAAACAATACTAAATTTGTGTTCAGAAGTAAATTTTACATGGAAAAAGCACTTACCTGATACTTTTTTAACGAGCCTTACATTTTCTTCAAGTCACTAAAAAAACGGAAATATGGTTTCGAAATCTAGTGTTTTTGAAGTGACGCCACAACTTCTTTTAGAAGAAGCACAATAAAGCCAAAATGATATACATTACTATAATTTGATACCTTAACCCTACCATACCAACGGCAAGTAATTCAATTCATTCGTTTAGTCAGTAAAGCCAGTGCACTACATTACCCCCCTCTACTCTAGGTATTTAATTTAATAAGAAATGTTTAAGTACATTTTAGCAAACATAACCTCAAATATTTTCAGTATTTCTGCATTATTCTTACTTACACCAGAAAAAGTGATTTTATAATTATCTACTTAACTACAATTTGTTTTTTGTATTTAATACTTTACAATTAATATTTAAATTATTATGATAAGTCAAGAGAATTATTATTTTATTCATTCAAATAAGTATTCCATAATCGGAACTTCCAATTTTCAACACCTGTACGCCTGTACATAAAATATAAATCGTTCAATCTAACCTAAATTATCCATATTAACAGACCAAATTCCAAAAAATTGATCATAAAAATTTAATCAGCTTAAAAAGCGTTCCATCATTGGTACAAATGTACTAAATTTTGTTTTTGTTATACAAAAAAAAATTAATTAATGTTCATAAATTACTACTCGTATTATTTTTTAGAAATAGTGCAACTTAGTCAAGAAGAATTTACCTCACAAGCTAGTAGCCTTTCTCAACTAAGCATAGAGACAGTTTTGCCTATTGTAAATAATGCAATTGGTTTATTAAATGTATCTCCAATTATGAAAAAAAATGTAAATATCCAAAGTTATTTACAAGTAAAGGTTTATAAAATGTGTGGAAATTTAAAAACGTCTCTAGGGGTGACAAAAGAATCTGACGATGAAGCAAATTCGAAGAATTTTTTGGATCTGATGGAAAAATTAAAAATAAAATATAATGACAGTAGTACGACACGAACGGAGAAGGTTCAAATTCTCACACTCTTACCTGACACGTGGAGTTTACCAAGCAAAGTCATGTAATGCAATGAGCTGTACAAAATACATGGCATCTACAGCAAAATGTGTTCGAGAAGAAAAGGGCATTCTTTCAACACCAAACTCAAAATTAGGTTAAAATCTTTTTCATAAGAATAATTATTTGTTTTCCCTTCAGTAATAATAGATTAAATTTTTCACATTTAGGTCGTCCATTATCAAATGATGTACAATCAAAAATTTTGGAATTTTACTTAGACGATGAAATGAGTGTAAATATGCCCGGGAAGAAAGATTATCTTTCTATTAAAAATGATAATGAAAAACATGAGCATATTCAGAAACGACTTATTATGTCTAACTTAAAAGAGTTATATGGACATTTTAAAAAGCTATATTCAAACTATCAAGTCGGCTTTTCTAAAGCATCACTGCGTCCACCGTATTGCGTACTAGCTGGATCTAGCGGAACTCATACTATTTGTGTGTGTACCATGCACCAAAACATTAAGCTAATGATTCTAGGTAATTGATAGTAATTTACTAGTAAAATCGTAGTAAAATCATAATAAAAAATTGTTGAAACTTCTCAAAACATTTTTCAGTGTTTATAAATGAATAATTTTGATCTTTTTTTATTGCAGCATGTAATTTAACAGTTCTCACAGCTCATCTATCAACCCCGTTACAGTTATACAGTGATTGCCTTAAAATGATTATTTGCCAAATAAAAATCCAAGTTATAAGTGTTATTTTCACGAGTGTGATAAATGCCCAGGCATAGAACAAAATGGAATCGATGAATTAATTTATAAGTATTGGATATCAAAGCCCCGAACAAGTTTGCAGACATTTGTAAAAGATTCATCCGATTTTGTCGACGACTTTTGTAAATACTTGGAAAGTCTTTTACCACATAATTATGTTGCCAAGGAACAGTCAGATTACTTGAGGACGCTTAAAGAATCACTAGGAGAAAATGAATACATTGCTATATATAATTTTGCGGAAAATTATGCCTTTGTTATTCAAAACGCCGCATCTGGATTTCACTGGAATAATAACCAGGCAACAATTTTTCCAGTCGTAATTTATTACAAACAAAATAATGAGCTTGTTCACAAAAGTATAGTTACTATATCCGATTGTCTATCTCATGATGCAGTTGCAGTTCGTGAATTTATAAAAATTGCAACTACTTTTATTAACGAACTGTTCAAGGACGCGGCAAAAGTTTATTATTTTTCCGACGGGGCACCTCAGAAATTTAAAAATTATAAAAACTTTGTCAACATAAATTATCACAAAAAAGACTTTGGACTTCATGTTGAATGGCATTATTTTGCGACAGCTCACTGTAAAGGGCCGTGTAATGGTGTGGGGGCACAGTTTTCTTATCACCAAATTTAATTACACTTATTTTAATTTTTATAATTGTGTTTGTTTCATAATAGTAACAAAATTATGAGAGTTTGAAAAAAAAATTACGAAATTTTTCAAAAATTTGTATCTTTTAAATCGCTTTACAAAAAAATTTGAAAAAAATCATAAGAGCTGATTTTTGAACAAGCA